AATCTCCTCCCCAACTCTTCATCTTATAATAAAAAGTTAAAGTTTTATTTTATTAATTTTAATTAATGTTTATATTATTAAGATCATTCAAAGTCATAATCTTAACAACATGTGTCCATTAATTTTGATAACTTTTTTTGTTAATAACTTTTTAACGAATAACGAGCGACGGCTAAAACCTCTTGATAGTCATAAGGTCATAGTCACTCAGGGTCATAAATCTTGACAACATATGTGAAGGTTAAGGTCGTTGGGGCTGGGTCCGTTGTTATCGATATTTACCGTATTAGTTTGCTTGCTTTTAAATTAAATATTATTGTATTATTAATTACAATGTACGAAAATTAAATCGCATACATACTTTCTACTATGTCAAACATTTTTTTTATTTGACTATATATTGGATTTGATTGTCGTTCGACAATATCCATTGTCTTAGGTTTTATAACCTAATGGATACTATAAGTATTTGTCGACTCGACTACCGCTGTAGTGGTACGAGAATTAATTTGCATACATATTGGATGCGGCCTTAGAAAAAAGGCGACATGAACGACAATCAAATCCAATATATAGTCAAATAAAAAAATGTTTGACATAGTAAAAAGTATGTATGCAATTTAATTTTCGTACATGTAATTAATAATACGATAATATTTAATTTAAAAGCAAGCAAAGTAATACTTGCAAACATATAATTCTTTCCTATATTTTTTCTCGATTTCAATTGAGTAAATCTCAAAATCTATCAGTGCATATACATGTGATTTTTTTTCTCAAGACAATTAGCTGTATGTTTATAAGAGTTAGTTATCTGAATCACATTATAAATGTAAAGTTACAAGTATCATATTTACTCTCAAGATTCATCTATTAATTTAACTATTTCTGAACGTTCGAACACTAGTTTTGGTTCCCAAGCAACGCAATTATAAATTAATTCGGATCTAAGAGATTTTACCGAAACCATCATGTATACATACCTTTTGTACGCTAAATACGGCGTATGAGATTGTCGGCTGAAAATTAACGGTTTAAGACCATTCGTGGAAGAGAATATCACAAAAAGGGATAACGCATTAGCGATGAAGATCGAGAAAGAATGGTCTCGCGCGAATTTTTGACCTCTCTGGAACTTTTCCATGTCCAACCAGAGCGGCTTGTCCGTTGAATTTCGACCGCAATCTCCCCGATACATTACGGCCGGTATGAAAAAAGATACGGAGTCTGGTACATGTGGCATACACTTTTTTATGCTATCTATAGCATGTTCATATTTTTCTTCGTTCGTCCATTTGTCATAATCCTTCGGGTACATAGAATTCTGACCGACGATATTTTTCGTATGCTTCATAATATGTTCGATAAGTTCAACTGCGCTCCTTGCCTCTGCAAGTTCATAACGTTCGTTTGCATCTTTTACGTATTCATCGATATCGTTGCTTTGATTTTTTGCACTTGATACGGTTTCTCTCGCAGTATTCTGGATATTATCATGTTCTACGCGATCTGAATTGTCGTCATTCATAATTTTCGTTTGTGTCTCCTTTACCCATCGAATCCCACCTGCCACTTCCATTTTTTACTTTTCTTTAGCAATTTGTTTAATTGCTTCGGAAACAAACTACCCTGTGTAATGTAAAACAACATTAATATACAATATGTTAAGGTTTGCAAAAGGAATTAGGAAAAATATACATTTCCGCAGTTGCAGCTTAATTATTTTAATATATTTAAAAAAGAGACTGTATGTGACCATATCAGTTGACTAAGGTAAACAGACAGATTCGTCAGGTGTGGAACTATATACGTGATTTCACGATTGTTTCCGTTTGTGAACTACGAGTCGGTATTCACTTTTCTCAGATAGCACACTGTAACGTAGCCCACTTTCAAGCGGGTAACGTAAGGAAGATAAGAAATCTCATTTTATCAATTTAATTCAATTATTCGTGACAACATTACGATCGATTGCGCGGATGTTCTTGATTATATGCAATAGATTTAGCGCGTTAATTGACGATTTACATGAGAAGAATATCGGGCGATTTTAGTGATCGTGTCATATCGGAACTATCGAGACATACGTGATTGCAAGGAGTACTTAAGTGGAGTCGAAAACGGACTGAGGCGGGGACGATGCGCCGTCTTCCTACTTGAATACTCTGCTGTGCCGATCTTTTGTGCTCGACGCCCGGCGTCGAAGGGACAGTTCCTTCGTCACGAGGACTACATGGCCTCCACTGTATGCTCCTGTGATCCCAGTCACATGCAGATAGCCGCCGGAGCCGTTTCCAAATATCCGTTCGTTTCCCTTGTTAGGTCCGACCCAACCGATCTTGCTCCTTCCTGGCGCTCACCTTTGACTCTATTAGAACATACGTGTTGTCTCTTTTAAATTCCGAGCAGAGTTTCTTCTCCATCATTCTGCTTTTTTTCTTCTTCTTCCAAGCCGCCAATTTCGCCAACCCCTCTCACTCGCTTTCCCTCTCTTTCACCATTTCCGTGTCTCGCCTAATTCGCGAGTACCCTACTCTTATGCTCACAATGTTTCTTATCGCCACAACACAGAGTTCAAAAAGAATTCATTTGTGACATTTATTCGGTATGTTATCAATTCTGATTTCATTATCAACTAGAAAGTGAGAGAGAGAGAGAGAGAGAGAGAGAGAGAGAAAGAGAGAGAGAGAGAAAAAGAAAGATAGAGAAATCGAACATTAGAACATTAAGAAACTTTATTCGATATAATAAATTTAAAAAATAAATCCGTTAAAATAATGTAATTGTTAAGAATAATGATATATATATATATATTATGATAACGTTTGACGCTATAGAAAGTGATTTTAACAATTTCATGGCAAATATCGTATTAATTTTAATATCAATCGTGTTAATTTTATATCATGTTAATTCTAACTTTATTAAAACAGCAAAGCAATAAAAGTAAAAATATATTGTTAGTACTAATTGAAGTACTAATTGAATGATATCATTAATCTTTAAACTACTATATTGGTCTCACAGATCGGTATTGAAACGTTACTTGTCAAAAATTTTATTATCTTGTCACCATTTAAATATATTTTATTTCTATTATATATGAAATTTTTTTGTTAACACATTAAAACATAGTTTTCCTTTTTCCCATTAACAAGTATTTAGAAAACATACATTTTTATTATATATAATAGTAGCACAATATTGACAAATTCATGGGCGCAATATTGGACCAATGTATTTCCAATGTATTTATATTGACAATACATTGGTCCAATATTGCGCCAATGAATTTGCCAATGTTATGTTATTAGGATAATTAACTTATAAAATTAGCGAGAGCATAATGGCGGTCTGTCGGACCGACATTGTGGTTAATGTGATTTTTTTGGGCGTGGTGGTTTAAAGGTTAGAGAAATTTTTAAGATACCTGTTTCTTCTTACTGATTGCAGAAAACAAGTATTGACAGAGCGAATTCTTCCATTAAAACTCGCAAACACAACAGCTGCGTGCAGCAGAGATAGCAGATCAGTGAGCGCATAATGATTAGCTTCTGAATTATATCTAGCGAAGATCTAAAGGCAAGAACCGATCATATTAAAGAATCATTAAGCTCACGATCTGTTTTCTCTACTGAACAAGTAGCAATTGCATAGCAAAGTTTAATTATGTTGTAATAACATTATTTTTTTCCGTTGCTTACGTCAGTAAATATACTTATTCTAATCAACTTTTTATCCTGTTCAAAAAAACTTATTAAATATTAAATATTTAATAGTTATAAAAACTTCAAACTGACATGCAATTTATCTAAATGTTTTTATCATTTTAATAAATGTCACTTTTATTATATATATATAAAAATAATTAATATCTTTTACTACAAGGAATTACTGAAAAAAGAAAAGATCTTCTAAAAAAAAGATCAAATTATGACTAGGTAAAATTGTTGAATGACGTACACAAGGCATCACAAATGCCTACTTATCTGAAATTGCAAGGACACATATACGTACATATTATTATATATACATATATGTAATACATATACATGGATTAGTATCCCTGCAAGTTCAGATGAATAGACATTTGTGACGCCTTGTGTACGTACAGGAATGAACATGTACGAATCCTTATAGTCACATTTTTCAAAAATTTTGTAAGGATCTGTTATTAAACTCTCGAACGGTAATATTTAAAGTTTAAGTCCGGATACGCAAAACATTTCGAAGGATATATTTAAATGGTTAACAATATCTGTACGTTGTTATACCTTTTCTAGAAATAGCTATTTTTCTCGAGAGACCAAAATTTTTATCGAGAGACCATAATTTTTTGAAATTTTAAGTCTGACTTTATTTAATATTCCGGCTACGTAATAGAACGTGTGGAATCAAGTTCTAAATTAGACATTTCTCTATTTCTCGATCATATTTGTTGCGAAAGAAACGTTGCCTCGAATAGAAATTCCGAAAGAAGGAAAGAAACATATTAGGTATTATAAGAACATTAGGTAAATATTGACAACAATGGACTCAGCCCTAATGACCTTGACCTTCGCATATGTCATGACCCTGCGTGATTATTAAGAGGTTTAATTTAGCCGTCGCTAATCCTTTGTTAAAAAGTTATTAACAAAAATGTTATAAAAATTAATGGTAATCATTCACTTTAGAGGACGTAAAACCTCACTTCGCATAAAAGTTGTAAACCAATGTGGGACCTCGCTTCGCGTAAAGTATATCTATTAAATCTTCGTTTTACTAAATAGATGAGTCTACAGTATACTAAAAATATTAGATACCAAAAAAATTAGATAGATCCCTACGCAAGGTAGAAAGTATATTAAATTGAATATCTATTAAATCTTCGCTTTATTAAATAGATGAGTCTACAACGTACTAAAAATAATAGATACCGAAAAGATTAGACAGATCCCTACGCAAGGTAGAAAGTATATTAAAATGAATATTTACTAAATCTTCGCCTTACTAAACAAGTAGGAGCATCAAAGCACGTATTTTCTGTTTCTACATAGATATTAGCTCTGTGACAGGCGGGGGGAGGGGCAGAGCCCCTTTCCCGCCTCGCCCATGCTACCTACTTGGGGGAGGCTTCGTCCCCCCCCCCCAACCCCCATTGAAATTATTTCTTTTGTTACTTTTTTACTAATAACTTTTTAACGAATAACAAGCGACGGCTAGAACCTCTTGATAGTCACTCACAGGGTCATGATCCTGACAACATATGTGAAGGTCATTGAGACTGGGTCCGTTGTTATCAATATTTACCAAAGATTATTTTTTAATATTTCCACGCTAAGAAAGATATTATTATCAGACATCGTGTAATTTAACATAAAGCAAGACTGCTTAATTAAAGTCAAAATATAATACGATTTTATTTATTCAAATAACGTCAAACATTATAGATATGTATGTCGATATTTTAATTTTTCCGTATAATTTGCAGTTTGTCTTAACAAATTATTTTTCAACATTTATGTTTATATAATCATTTGCAATTCGTGTGTAAATCAAATTTTCTCATGTCCACGCTGCAGGCCTCGCTAGCGCTAAATAACACTAATGTCCAAATAAGCATAACTTTGCGAAAAAAAAATAGTACAAACCTCAACAGCCTCTCATTTTTCTCGTCTTGAAAAGCCCTTTCAAACGAGCCCTCACTCGACCCCACATGCCACTTAAGATTTTCAACCTCCCTTCCCCGCTCGCTCCCTTTGAAGGGTTGAAGTTGGTGTTTTCAAGGTTAAATAATAAATTTCATGGTGCCATTGTAACCTTATAAATTTCAATCCAATATTTGAACTATTCAGAAATTATTCAGATACCTGTTTTAAGCGTCTCACCCTGTATATGCATAATATACATGTACATATGTCTATATAATTTTTCCAGAACCTAGCAACATAGAAATCCACGAACAATGAACGCAATTGACGAAATAGGAGTGGTATGGGATCTGTGAAATTAAATTAAGTTTTACACACACACACACGCACACACACACACACACACACACACACACACACACACGCACGCACGCACGCACGCACGCACTATATTATATGTACAGAGAGAGAGAGAGAGAGAGAGAG